AAGTTAGAGGTAAGGCAGCTATTAATGAGATGTAGGGAGGTGGATCCTCCACATGCTGCTGAGAATAGTGTACACTGACCAGCACAGCACTGCCGAGAACCATCTGGCCATAATTAGTGGAAATGAAGATGACCTGGTAATCTATCCCAGGGATGCATCCAAGAGGAACTCGAGCCCAGGTTCATAAGGGGACATGCACAAAGGTGTCCATTGTAGCATCAAGTTAGAGGCAACTGACTGTTCTTCACTTCTGCAATGAAGGCAAAGGGTGATGATGCATCAGGAACTTCCTAACCATCATTCAGAAGCAGCAACCCAGTATGGCATGCTTGTGAATCTCTGGACATACATTAAAAACTTTAATTATAACTAAAATCAAGCCTGGGAGTAGTGATGAATACTTAAAATCCTAGCACTTAGAAGACTGTATGTTCAAGGCCAGCCTCAGCCACACAGCAATCACAGGCCAGACAGGGCTTCACAAGACATTGTCTCAAAGAGAAATAAAAAAATAAAAATTATAAGTAAACAGAATTGTATAGTAAAATGTTGTTTACATACATTAAAATCATAAACCCATAAAACAGCACCATTTATGTTAGAAGAGATCACTCACACACATAGGTTTCTATGACTTCAAAGCAGTGGTTCTCAACCTTCCTGACACTGTGATCCTTTAATACAGTTCCTCATGTTGTGGTGATCCTCCACCATAAAATTATTTTCATTACAACTTCATAAGTGTAATTTTGCTACTGTTATGAATCAGAATGTAAATATCTGTGCTTTCTGATGGTTTGGGGGGGGGATCATGACCCACTGATTGAGAACCACTGCTTTAGAGCATTGATGTAGGATAATGGTGTCTAATAGTGAGGGTGCTTTAACACAGAGTTAAAAAGAGAATGAAGGACAAGATTGCAAAATTTTTAGAAAGATATATTAGAATATAGAATTAATTCAATTCCTTGTAACTGGCATTAAAATATATAAATCCTATTGCCTGAACTACTAGAAAAATATTATACAATAATAAACATGTATACACGCACTACCCTTGTTTCTTTATTCTTTCCCAGAATGTGCCAGGCTGACATGGTATTCCTAATAAAGCTTATACCATTATGTTTTTGGTGGTCCCTGCCTCTCAAATGATACTCTTCAAGATACAATTTAACTTCTGCATCTCATACATCTTTTAAATATTTCCATTCATAAAAGTATCTGAAGCAAATTGTTTTTAGACATTGTTCCATGACATCTAAGACTTAGCTCTGCATCATGTCTTATGCAGGACTCCCTCTACTTGGTATGAACTTCCCAGAGATCAGAGAGATATATTTGAAACTCCCTGCCATGTCTAGAGTACTGGTGTGCACACAGGGAGATCCCAATGAACATCTAATAGATTTGCAGTAGCAATTTTAAATCTATTGGAAGTTCTGATTGCAAGAGATGGATAGGTGGGATCCTAATAGGAGGTTGAAAGATGCAGTGTTTTCTGTGTAGAAATAAGTTAGCAAGTAGAAGGGAATGGAAGATACTTCTCTAACTGCTAACAGAAAGGCATGGATCTCTTGTCCACTGAGGAGGATACAGCTATACATCAGCAGAAAGAGATGAAGCTGGCTTTAGCTTGCTCGTTATCAAAACTTCCTTTCTTACTTGGTGTCGTCTTGCCTAGGATACCCTTTTCCTCGACAAATTCCCATCTCTTACAGTATGCTTTTCATTCCTGATTGTTCAAGGCAATAATCAACCATTCCTACTCTTTCCTGAACATTTAATGGATTTTGCCTTTTACTTCAAAATCAAAGAAACCTTACCCAGTTCAAAATTTGCATCTTAAGTCTACAACAGCCCCCTCCCCGCACTTATAAGTACCATGTTTCTTTTTATTTAATACTGAAATATATAATTTGCTTATGATTACCTAATGCATATATTATTTTTTGAATACCAAACCGCAGTTCATTCACCATGTTGCCACAGATGCGAGAAATGCCCTCCATAGCGAAGCTGATTAAACGAAGCCGTGTTTTCTCACTGAGATTCAGAATCTCATTCAGCTGCACTGTGCAAACGATCTGAATGAGAACCAAAGGCTGGCTTTTGAAAAGGAACTTGAACTTTGTGTGAGATCCAACAAAAAGCTGGAGCTTCCAAACACAAAGCCATGTGTAGCTGCCTTAGTTCCACGGAAGCTGAAGAAGGGCAGTGCAACAGCTCCAGGGAATGTGACAGACGGGAACACAATATGAAGTGACCAAATCCTAGATTTGAAGTAATAAGACGCAGTAGAATATCTATTTCATCTGCTTCCTACTTTGGGGGTCTGGATCAGGGCAGACAAGTATTTTTCTTAGTTTTCCCTTTTGTGTGGTAAGAAAATGAGAAAAGTCCCATCATCAACTACTTACTAACATCACTTGGGAGCTAGAATAGAATGCAGATTACAGCTTAGAATCATAAGAGAAAAAACCTGAGGCATTCACTTTTGCATCTGGCTAGTAGAAAAGTGAGCCTGAGGCCTAAAAGGTAATCAATAAATGTTTGCTAAATGAATGCACGAGGAAACAGCAATGGACTACAGAGACATTACATCAGAGATATGTGCCAAGAAGGAAGGTATTCCCAATGCAGGCTTTCAGGGGGCAGGGAGAGGAACACAGACAATCAGAGAGGACTGTGTCTTCTTTATGTTGGAGCTGGTACCAGGGGATAGCCTCAGGAGGTAAGATGGCTGTAACATAAAAGCGCTGGGAGTCCAGCACTGCAGAGGAGACAGGCAAACATGATTTTAGAATTAAGATCCACTATAGAGGTGTCTGTCCAAATGTGTATTCAGCAACAGGTCTGAATGCTTGAATTCCTATTTGCTGCAGGAAGGAGACAAGGCAGGGGAGAGACACATAGGATATCACGGTAGGCTTCAGTGTTACACGCAGCAGAGACTAAATCCAGGCTCTACCAGTCATTCTGGCACCGATACTGACACACCGTTAATCGCTGAGACATCTAGAAGACGAAGATTTTAGTTTTCAAAGCTGAAGGTTGTGGGATGCGCGCTGTAGGCCTGTTTTGCAGATTGGATGTATGAGGGGCAAAACATACTTCACATGCTATATGGCTTTTTCCTTTTTATTATGAATGTGCTATATGGTGACGCGTGTAAATACACATGCGCACGTGCCATGGCTCTCATATGTGGAGGTCAGAGGACAACCTAGGAGTTGGTTCTCTCCACTGCCGGCTCTGGAGAGCAGGCTCACAAGGCCAGGTTTGTACACTAAGTGCTTTTCCCTAAGTCGACTGGCCTGCCTCACAATGTCCTTTGTTGTTGTTGCTATTTTTATTATTGTAATTAATGTTACTGTAGATTTTATGGTCGTAAGGTTTGTATCCAATCACCTAAATATTTGTCTTAACTTCAGGTGAAACACTTGCAATTTGCAAATAAGTGGCTTCTTTAATTTTATATTTTCTTTATGTGTATTTTTCCCCCTTTGATATTCTTGTAAAAGCTGCCCCAACCCCATCTGATTTTGTTTTAGAAGCATGGAGGAAGAAAAAGTCGCATAGGCTAGCTAAGTTGCCTGTGTGGCGGTCACCAGGCTGTCCTGGCTTAGAAACTCAGAAGTAAGGAAGGGCCAGAGTAGAACCGGGGAAGGACTCATGAGACAACTCCCGAAGGGGAGGTTTCCTGCATAATTCTATATAAGAGACGACTCTACTGCATTCAAATACACTCCAACATCTTCTCAAAGACAAGACTCCTTGGGGTTTACTTGTTTAAAAACAAAACCCGAGCCCACGCCTTTAATCCCAGCACTTGGGAGGCAGAGGCAGGCGGATCTCTGTGAGTTCAAGGCCAGCCTGGGCTACAGAGTGAGTTCCAGGTAAGGCGCAAAGCTACACTGAGAAACCCTGTCTCGAAAAAAACAACCAACCAACCAACAAAACAAACCAAAAAAAACAAAAACAAAAACAAAAAAAACCCCCGAGAGTTCCCTGTTTATTAAATGTATACAGAATTAAGACAGGATAACCTTTGAATTGGACAGATCAGTAAGAAAGTACTGTAAGATTTGTAAAGGACAAAATAATAGTGGTAACTTACCAACACATACCTTGGAATCAGCAAACAACAGGGTTTATTATAGCTAAGCAAATTTTCAAAAAGCTGTAGTCTGGAGGAAAATGTGTTAAACTGTGAAGCAAAACCATTAAAATGGTTGTAGTTCCTTTTGAGTGTTCTTCACCCCCACGTTTTGATTCTGACAGAAACAGGCCTCCTTGTGCCTCTGGTAGGCTGGCTTCCCAGTTTAAACTCCTCAGTACAGCGTTGTTTTGATGAGATGTAGAACTTTGCTTAGTTCTAAGGAGAGCAGACTGAATGTAAGTGCCCTGCTGGGCAGGGGAAGGTTGTGTGAGCGCAAAGTTTCACTTCTAATTTTGGGCCCAACTTTTTATGCTGAGGAAATTGTTTTCAAAGTTTAGCACCGTCTCAGTTTCACAACCCCAGACAGAAAATAAATCCACCTAGGAGACATTGTCTGTGTCTGTAAGAAAAAAAAAGGGGGGGGTTAGGGGTGGGGGTCGGGGGGAGCTGTGTCTGCAGAGCAAGTCTAGGGGATGTTTGACTAAAAAGGGAACCCTGGAGGATGTAGGACCTAGGCTCCTTTAGATTGCTACAAGAGCCACTCCTGTTCCTAGGGACCGCGAAAAGACATCCTTGTATTGACTGGAGGAGATGAGGCGCTCCAGAGGTGCAGAGGTATTCCAGGCAGGAAAGCAAGGTAGGGGGGTAAATGCTGCTGGGGTGGAACAAAGGCGTGGCAGGATCTCAGGAATGCCGAGTGAAGCCGCGGCCGCTCCCAGGGAGGGCTGCTGGAAAAACCCCGGTGTAGGGAGCGTTCTCCCTGGAGACGGCCGGAGGCGCGGCCCCGCCCTCCGAAGCCCCGCCCCAGCCAGCGTGGACCAATGGGAGAGCTGGATGTTAGCGTGTGGGAGGCGCGGCTGGGTTGCTACAGCCAGAGCTGGGCGGCGGCGGCGGCGGCGGGCGCTGCCGGAGGAGCCCGAGGCGCTGCGCCATGGAGGGGCTGGAAGGTGAGATGCCAGGGGAGGCGGCCGCGGGGTCGAGCGGGTCGGGGCCACGGGGGCCGGGACTCCCGGGGCCCGTGCGGCCGGACGGCACCGCGGCGAGGTCCCCGCGCCCGCCGATGCCGGGGCCGGAGCGGTGACCGCGGGCTGCCCGCGGCGCACGGTCCGCGGCTTCCCCGCGGGGTCGGAGCCCCTCGTCCGCTCTCCTGCAAGGCCTTCCCACCATTTTCGGGTCCTTCCTGACCCCCGAGTCTCCCTTGGGGAGTCAGCGTCTCTGGACCGGTTTTATTATCTTTGCAAACTGTATTCTCGGTGGAGGTTGGCGAGGTCCGGGTCGCCAGCCCCTGCTGGCCCCTCAGGACTCGCCCCGCCTCCTGCGAGCTCCCGACACACACCTTGGGCATTCCTGGGTAGCCTTCCTTCCACGTCTGCCGCGTCTTGGTCGGAGGGATGCCAGAGCATCTCCAAGGAGGTGTCCCTGGCCAGCTCTACACCGCGAACAATAGCTCCAGCCTGATGGTTTATTCACGAGGACTGACTAGGGGAAGAGCCAGCTTTGGTTCCTTATCTTCCCTTTTTCCTGGTGGTGTAACCATGGCTTCAGATTTTGCTTTGTTCCCAAGTCTTTCACTTTTTCTCCCTTTTCGTCCATTTTAATCCCGTCTGAGGACAACATTCGCTTAAAAACAAAAGGAGGAAAGAAAACAAAAAAACCACCTAGCAGTGGTAGCAACAGCTTCAAGATTAAAAAAAGACAGTATACATTTATGATAAACAAGCTTTCAGAATTTTGGGATCCTGGTTTTTGTTTTTTTTCTTAAAAAAAAATTCCACCACTTAACGTACTTGGAATGAGCAGGGGCACTGAGCCCTTCATTTTCTTGTTTTAAAGATAGTTATTTCAGGACATGGTATGAAGTGAAAAGTGGTAACTGATAACTTTTTTCAGTGATTTCAGTGCACCAGAAAGAAAATGCAATAATGTGATTATGGATTTTTATTTCATAGTTTTATTTTGCAGTGAAGCCCTCACCAAACACCTTGAAGGCGATAAAGAATTCTAGTTGACCACATATGGGCCCAGCTCCAGTTTTTTATGACCTGTGAAGGTCTTGATGTACCATTCAACTTTACATGAAATGAGAAATTGTAAAGACTTCTTTTCAAAAATCTTTTTTGGGATCCTCTGCAGGCAGCTTATTTTAATTATTTAAAACTATACTGGTGTAGAGACTGTATATAGAAAACAGGGCTGAAACATGGGTTCCAGAATTTTTATAATGTTATAGTGCATGAAGGGTGTTTTAGAACACTTCCCAGATTTTTACTGATCAACATTTACTGTGGAAGAAATATTCACCCAATGTTTCATTTACTCATCCTATTCATGCAAAGAATAAAAGTATAGCCAAAGCTCTACCCATTCTAAGAATCTTTACATTTTAATCTGTGCTAATATTGCTGTTGCAGTCTAAGTCAGAAATTTTGAAAATATAATTGAAAACTATCATAATATTCAGTCGCCTGTGTGTGTGTCTAGAATATACGGATCCTGTTGTAATATGGAATGAGCATGATTTCTGAGTCTGGTTTGTGTCAAACAGTACCAACCCGATCCAACTCTTGGATTTTTTTTTCTAACAAAATAGGATGCCATCATTAAATGTGTTTAATTGTAATGATTTAGGTTGAAATATAAGAAAATAGTTCTTCTTGTCTGGCAGAACAGCTGAATATTGGCATTTTCAAGTAGTTCAACATAATAAAAGCTCAGAGTGTTCTGTTGAGTGGAAAACTGTGCGCTTTTTTTGGCTTCAACCCCACCCCACCCCCACCTTCCTTAAAAAAAAAGTCAGTTCCTATTACATCACATTTTGCAGACTTCATTCATTCATTTATTCACCCAGACTTTTACTTTGTAAGTTATTTGATAGCTTTCCTCTTTTTTTGAATTCATAGGACAGTGTTTTGTATAAAATACTCACGTTTGCTTACTGTATCTTTGTCATTTAGCAAAAATATTCTTTGACATTTGACTTACATTTTTGAAAGTAGTTACTGGTCTCTTGAAAAAGTTCTTTCAAAGCTATTTTTACTCTTTTAAAGTAAATGTTTATTGCTTATAAATCATATACCATTTATGTTATTTTTGATCTTCTGTGACTTTTATGTCTCTGGAATTATCACAAAGTGAATTATTCAATTGCATACTGTATTTTAAACCAGTGTTGTTATAATTTTGTATAACCCATTGCAGAACTTCTGCACAGCTTGAGTGATTAGAGAAAAACCTTTGATCCCTTTTTCTGTGAAAGTGTACCCTGGATGTACCTAAGGAGCGTAGAAGTCATTTTAGAGCTGGGGACTTCTAATACCTTACAAGTTTTATCATCTGTAAGATGTCATTGCCTTCCTAATATCCTAAGATATGCTATAACAATTATGGCAGACATTAGGCAGGCCATTCCTCTTCTGGACTGCTGCATTTATTATCTTAGTATTGCTCTTCTGTATTGTCATACCTACCTAGTGGAAATCTGCCATCATGCTTATCTTTTGTTTTAACTTAGTATAAATGTGTACTGGTTTACTGAATAACTATTCACTTTGTTAGTAGCGTTCACCTATTTGTCATTGCTGTGGCTTTTGATTGATGCTGAGTTGGAATTCAGGTATTTTAATGGCCAGAAAGGTTCAAAGAAGCTTTTATCTAAACTTTTGTTTTCTTGTTGTCTTTGTTTCTTGTTGTCTTTTTTATTTTTTTCTCCGTGATTTGGGAATGTATATTTTTTTGGAAATTTATTTTTGTGTATGAGTGTTTGGCTTACATGTATGTACATGCACTATGTCTATGCCTCGTGCTGACAGAGATCAAAAGGAAGCATCAAATCCCCTGGAACTATGGTTACTGACTATTGTGAACCCCCATGTTGGTATTGGGGTTGGAACCCTCGGTCCTTTGCAAGAGCAAAAGTGCTTACTAGTACTCTTTACCGTTTGGCCGTCTCTCTAATCCACAATTTGGGCATATCATTCAAATCAGAATCTCAGTTATCTCAGCTATAGAAAGCAAAGCTATTAAACATTAAACCTCACCAACTCTGTTAAGTGTTAAACATGCATAGAAAAAAAACATTAGTTAAATGTCAGGTGCTTTGAAGTACATATTTATTCAATGGATGAAGACTAAGGAAGCATGTTAGATGCTTAAGAGTATTCAGTTATAGCTAAAACATTGCATGCCATCTCTCCTGGCCTACCAGGTGAGTCCCACATAACTGTGCCCAAGAGGAACAAAAGCAGAGACCTCAAATGCATATATACGGTGAAGATTAAAACTATGAGTTCAAGGCCAGCCTGGTCTACAGAGTGAGATCCAGGACAGGCACCAAAACAACACAGAGAGACCCTGTCTCGGGGGCAAAAAAAAAAAAAAAAAAAAAAAAAAAAACTATGGCAAATGTAGAGGAAAATCAAAGGGAGGGTAAATTGGAAGATAGTTCTGAGATTGGAAAATGAGCTACGACTTTTTGGTACATGAGAGAAAAAAGATTCCTGACTTAATGACTTTGGTTTGAAATATGTTTGTGTAGTTCTTGGGAGTATCAGATTTAAAATAAACAAACCTCAGAGTTAACTTGGAAATTATTTACCTGAAAGTTTTAGTGGTTATCACTAGCAAGAGGGAGCCATTGCCTAGGCAAATCATACTTAACAAAGTGAGAAAAGAAGCTACTTACAAAATTCCATGTTTTGGGGTTAGGTAGAATGGGAAATTGAATGGGCGGAGTTTTTAGAGGAGTTTTAAAACTTGCCAAAAAAAAAAAAAAAAGAATGTGGGGAAGAAACAATATTTATGAAGAAACAAATGAACTAGAAGAAGCTTATAGTATCTGAGTATAGGTAGGAAATCTAGTTCAAACCTGCCAAATCCTGCTTAGGTGGTGAAACCTGGGGAATTCAGGATTGGGAAGAAATACAGAAGCCTAAAGAGGAAGAACATTAAAAGTCAAAAAAGATTTGTGAACAGGACTTTATGCTATGAAAAAGCCTAGTCAATGAGGGTGCAAAAGAAGTAGTTAAACATGACAGTTAATAGATTGATGGTGAGTAGTTACCTCCCATTTCTTAGTCTCTGTTACTATTAGTTTTCCCTGCTCTTGTCTACTTCCCAAAAATAGCCTTGCTATCTTTCCCATATTCTTCTTTTTCTTCTTTTTGTGGTTAATCCTCTGACATTTTATTAGTTTCAATTCACTTTTCTCCCTAGTATTTGAAGAGTAGGGTCTCTGTAAGATTAGGGTTCTTGTTTTTATTTTATTTCATTTTATTCTTTTGCCTTTAGCTGCATATGTCTTAGAACATTCTATCTAATGCAAGAATATCAACTAGTATTTGTTGAATCAAGTAAGAGGCCTGCTTTAATTTAGTGGATAGGCTTAGAAAGTGTGCCTGTAATTGTGTAGGGAGGGAGTGAGAGGGAGAGACTAACCAAACAACGTCAGTATTTGAAAATATACTACTCAGGACATTGGTCTTAAGTATTTCTTGGGTGTAAAAGGATTACTGATGAAATGAGTGTAAGAAAATACCAGCACTCTACGTCTATTTTTTTTCTTAATTGAGGAAGTAAGAAAACTCATTTAACTTTGTTTAATATAACTTTTCATAAATATTTGCCCATATAATAAGGAGTTTGAGAATGATTTATGAAAAGGAGAAACAGGTTTCTGTTCAGACTGGGTAGAGAGGGAAATAAGACTAGGAAGGAACTTAGAGCAGTGTCTCTGTGTCTGCCACATCCCTTTTCAGCTCCTCAGTGGATACCTGGAACCAGCCCTCAGGTGCTGTGATTTTCATGTATGCACTTAGCAAAGAAAAAAATTGAGCTTGTATATTAGAAATACTAAGAGATTGACAATAAATTGAATAATTATACTCTGACATTAACTATGAAAATGTGGTTTTGAGAGAGCATGTCAAGATAAAAGTTAGTTTCTTGGATT